GAATTGACATGGCATGAATGTGATACAATTGTTGCCATATAAACATTAAGTATAGTGGATAGGCGCCGGTGTATTTGGCAATAAAGCTACGTGTATTTAGCCTCTCCCTATAACTTCTGGCCGCACAAGAGAGAGAAAAACAAAAAAGTAGCAATAACGTCAGGCCGCACCTTTCATCGCTTGGACAACCAATTCTTTTAACCTATCAACAAAAGTGCTTGTAAGCTCTTTGCAGTTTAGTGGGCCAATTTTAAATTGGTTGGTTTGGTGAGGTATATTCGGGTACGCGAACGACCCACTATATCCAGTATATTTCAACCATGGTTTTTGAGAAAAAGTGACAGGTATTCAGCTACTGTGGGATTCATACTGCGATTGTCACCGTCAGGAATTATGGTGCACATTGAAAGGATTGAACCGGCAGTTATCATCATAAAGATTAGCCTACTGCACCCCCCAGGGAACCAGCCCCAAGTGGGCCAATTTTAGACGTCATTGTATAGCAGCATGATGCAGTTGGTGTATAGAGCGAACTGCCCACGTTTCTCATGCCTGACAATCAGTCTTGTATGTTACACAGATAGCATCATAACGTTACTTGCGCCCTTTAGCCGCACGTAGCTGTCCCGACCGCTAATTAATTATACAGGAAGAGCTTTGTACTTGACCACCTTCGGGATATTCCACTAGTAGTGTCTAGCAAAGATTGTGCCTAACTTGCTCTTGGCACACGACCTGTGCCGAAAGCGAATACAGGCCAAAACAGCATACAGTGAGTACATTATATGCCTCTGATTGTAAATCTTAATGATAATGGACACTTTCTGGATAGTAGACCTCACTTTTTGTCGATACCCTTTGTCGAAATCAAGTTCGTGTCGTGTCCGAGAGTTCATGGTTAACATGCCATGTGTGCTTGGTGCACCTCATAGATTAGCGATTTCTAGATTGATAAATAAAATAGTCGCACCACATGAACATGAAATACTAGCACTTTTCGATGGAAATACAAAAATTACACTCAATATGAGAAAACATAAAGATACACTGAATCATAAAAAAGTAAAAGAATTGCACCGCCGATGCTCCCTAAACGGACGAATATACACATGCTGGAGGTCACATGGACAAATTTCGACATCTTAGGATATCTGTGAAAGTGTCCTGGATCAAATTATAGCGATGCCCATTTCCCGCGATCAGGGGTGACGAATTTGTCTTTTGTGTCATTTGATTATACAAGTTAACAACGTGAAAGTTGTTGATACGCTGTAACCTTTGCTACAGACACATAAGCTCTACCATACGAGCATCATACGTTGATGTCCTAGCAGGTATAGTGACTTTATTAATCACGCATACCACAATGATCTATCAGTATATTGTATCTCATGTACGAAGTAGACTAAAAGGACTGAGCTGCGATGTCTATGTGCATCACTGTAAATAACAAAATCATGATATCTTTCTAGCGTCCACGCTATAACGTCCAGATGTTCACCAGTACCACTACCATTATAAGCATCCTCTTTTGCGTGGAGGTCATAACATTCATTTAGAAGTGCGCGATTCGTTAGCGTGCAACACACCTTATGTGCGCGCAAGTATCCATTTGACCAACTGAAATATACTAAAATCATTTCGCTAAGTCTCTACCACCTTGCCTCGTTTTAGTATTGTATGTCTATACGTCATCCATTCCGCTTTGGATCGTACCGTATACATATGACAAAGCATTATGGACGCGCCATTTGACACGGCGCTGCCTCATCTCATTCAATACGACGATTCAATCATGACAATGGTTACACATTGGTACAATGTCAAGCCACAAAACTTGGACGAAGTGAAATGTGAACTTGTTATCGAGACTATCACAACACTGTTAGGCTACGCTTAAAGCGTCGACGCACCCGTTTCTTCGTGCAACACGATTGTGAAAATCGAGATAAATTAGTCAGTAAATGATGAAAAAGAGAAGGAATGAAGCAGATGCAGGTGGGTGTACACAAATGTATGATCGCAGGCATGCGTATATTTGATCACTCAGTATAAGTTAGGGGTGCACTTTTAGTTACAGCAACAGGTGTATAGTTCTCCATCTTGCTGTACATTTTTCGCATTTCCATAATAATCTGGGCCTCTCTTTATCGATCGTTTTATACCCCTTCCGAAACTCGATAACGACCCGACATAAATAATATCCAGTTTAGAATAAGCGACGTGTAAACAAATTTACATAAATGTTCTGATTCGTCCACTTCTGTAACATTACAATGTACTTGTCAATATCTGTCAGAAGTTTGGCCCACTAGCAGGAACAAATATCATTGCAATAACAATGTGCCTGCGGTAGCTCCTGACAAGTATGGGCCAAAAAGACCTTGCTTAGACGACCATTATCAATCTAACAAACACCTGAACATCGCAGCCATTGTAGTCGTATCGTCCCGGCAGTATTTTCCTTGTTGCACGGCCGCTCCTTAGTAGCTGACAATTCATTGTACCGAAATGGAACGAGTACAAGATGATGTCACGGGGACACTTGTCGGTACGAAGTACGAGACCGGTCACAGTGCGCATGTAGCATTCACAGTATGGAATGCAGACTGGCAAACAATCAGACAACGGCTGTGTGTCATACCGAAGTCGCATCATTTACGCCCGCATCGCATGTCCACAACGTTGACATGGAGCGAGCCCGAAACTCGCTCGAGCTGACCGGTGCTGGGATTCAGGAAGTCAGCACGCACTTTACCAGTACGATGTACCAGTCGTCGTAAACGTGTTCTTCTAGTCGCTTCCTCTGGGCATACCAACGAACAAGATGCAATCTGCAGTGCAGGCAGCAAAGTACCAAATTATGTGCACGCCCCTCTGTGTCTGTTTTTGTAGCTTCGAAAACATGGGACCGGGTATCTCATGCGTGAAGCGGTTGGGTTTCTATGGTGAGCCACACTCGCAACCGATTCTAAACTGCGCTGGGTTAATAAAGTAACCCGTTGCTTCGAAACGACGGATGATGTGGAGTTTCGATGATACGCTTTAAAAAGCCGACACGCAGATCAAGTGCTTTTTTCTTGCCGATCGCCAAGAAAGCGACGGTCCTATCAACTGCTTTTCTTTATCGCTCCTTTGCTGTGAACTTCTGCGCGTCAAGAGGTGACTTTATCCACGACAGCGAACAATAAAAAGTGTCGCTGCATCCGTTCCAGTTGTCGCGACTGCCCGTTGGTTCGCTACCGATCGATCGATCGACCGGTCGATTGCGTCTCTGTCTATGGCCGAGCGCTCTATCAGATCCGCTTGTTCCACCGCATCAGTCGCGAGTGACGTCAACGCGTTCGCAGTCGACTCAGTCGATTCGATGGCGTTCGCGGCGGCAGACAAACGCTCCGCCGCTGACGCCTTTGACTGTGAGAGTGTTGAAGAGCATAACGCGAAGAAGCGGACGATCGATGACGTTGAGGATAAAAGTGATGGAAATGGCAGTGGAGATGACGTTGCAGCGCGTCCTGTGGTGAAGAAGAGCAAGTGGATCGACGAGGAGCTTCCGGACGTCGATGACAATGAGGAGTTTCCACCGCAAACGGAGGAAAGGGACGACGAAGAAGTGGCGTGTGGCCTGACAGAGGGACAACATGATGATGGGAATGTGGTGACGGATGAGGTGCATTCGCGTATAGTGAGCTGTGGTCACGGGATGGGAGACGACGTGGATCTGAGTAGAGAGAGCAGGAAGGACGTGGACACGCCAACAGACGAAAAAGAAGAAGAAGAAGGAGAAGAAAATGAAGAAAGAAAGAAGGAAAGAGGAGAGGAAGAAGAAGAAGGAGGAGGGATCGGTGGATTAGATTTCGCAGAAGAGGAAGGAGGAGAAGAGAACGATGAAGAAGATGAAGAAGAGGGAGAAGAAGAAGATGAAGAGAACGACGAAGACGCTGACGGTGGGGAGTCGATGGGGTATCAAAATCATGGCATCGACATTGTGGACGTTGATGACGATGACGGTGAAGAGGAAGGGAACGGAGACGGCGACGGGTACGAGCAATTTAGTGATCACGATAGCGAAGAGGAGGAGGAAGATGGAGAGGAGGTTGATGAGGACGAGGACGAAGAGGACGAGGCGGCAGATACTGTTGCACGGGCCCGCAATCAGAGAGAAGCTAGACAGTTGTTGCAGCAACTGGACGGCTCGACAAGAAGCAAACTGTGTTTGACGGTGCTAGAGAAGTACGGAGAAGAGCTCTTGTACGGGCACGAAGACGCACGAGATGCCATCTTAGTGGACGCTTGTGCTCATGAGTCAGCGTTGTCGCTGATGAGGGACGCTATCCGGGTAAGGGATTTGTATGCGAGGGGATCGTCGGCAGCAGCACCCGTCGAGTTGGACAATGATGACGATATTGACGAGGAAGAGAGTGAGGCTGCAGGGTATGCCGTGGAATCGGGTGATGATAATATTGAAGAAGAAGGAGACGAGGAAGCTGGAGGGTACGAAGATGAAGAAGAGGAGGCAGATGATGAAGACGGAACAATCGCAGATGAGGATGATGATGACGAGGTTGTCGTCATTTCGGAGGAGGAAGTGGAAGATACGATGGTGTGCGAGCAAGACAGCGAGAGTCATCTGGATGAATCCACCCACGACGAAGGGTACTATGGAAGTGAGATGGAAGAGGGTGACGTGGGCTCGGTGAAGATGTTACACCCCGTCACTGGTGATGCCGGGGCTGAGCGTGACGCTGAGAGATGCAGAGCTGACAACAATCAGGATGAACAAGACGCGGACTGCGAAGGTGCAGCGCTAGATGACACAGGGGCAGCATGCGACGTTGTAGCACCGGCCAATACAGGTGTAGCAAACGTATTGAGTTTGCGGGTGCCGGTCGCTGACTCAGCCACGTGAGGCGTAGCGCAAACAGCTATTCATTGAATCTTAGCGCATTATCGCGGCACGGACACGAGCGTCTCGTGAGTTTGGTTGCGACCTTTCTCTTTCAACTGCTGTGCACTCCCCGCGTGCTACTGCTTCTTCCAGAGACGACAGCTGCCGCAGTGTCCTCAGCTCTCTTCTCCCCTCCAGTCTTGTGTTTCATGACTCGAGATGCAATGATCGTAATGTCGTCCGGCATACCACCGCCCCATAGCAAATCGTTCTCCTTGGCAAGGCGAGCAAATGGCGAGTCGCGCGTTCGATCGAGGGACAAACGGTAGGCCTTGTGTACAAGCTTGCGCGTCATGGTCTCAAGGTCCGCTTCGGTACGTACAATGTCAAGGAGATCTTCCTCATCCACGTTGTCAAAGAGTCCATCAGTGGCGAGAACAATGAGATCCCCCTCAAGCACTGGTACTCGCAGTCGCATTCCGTTCTCCGGGGTTTCGAAAAGCGGCTTCTCACGCATCGGCGAGTGCGTGCCACGCGCCAAGTCGTCCACAACGTCACTCACAAGGTCAGCGCCCGCGAACCCCAGCTGAAAAGGGCAGTTGAAGTAGTGCAATTGCTGTGGTGAGCGGTACGTCACGTGCGCTCCCTTTCGTCGGCCAGCCGGCGTAAGGTCATGCTCGCGGTTGACAATCTTGCGCGTCAGCGATCCATCCAGCGTACCACGTAATCGTGCAGTCTCGAGGTCCGATGCCTTGTCGCGGATGATCAGGAACCCCGAGTCGCCCAAGTTAATGGCATGCAGCTCTCCTTGTTCCGGGTTCAGTGTCAAAATGCAAGCTGTCGAGCTGCCGATGATTTGTTTCTGGAGCACTGTCGACCAAGCAGCGTGCAAGACTTCGGAAGGGTTGATGTCGCGATCTCTGGCGTATGAGAATCTCACTGCCTGACGTGCAGAAGCCATGAGCTCCTCGGCGTACTGCCGTGCACTTACCCCCTTCTCGAACCAAGACCCCACGCCATCAGCAACCCCCATCGCTAGCACATCCTCGGGACCCTGTGATCTGTCAGTTGCCAATGGACTAGAACGATCAACATGTGTACGTTCATTCTCCGGTGCAAGCGCTGCCACGGCGTCTTCCGCGTCTTCGTGGGGCACGGCACCCAAAAAGAAAGCATCTTCTCCGCCAGTGTCTTTCTTCTGCGGATGTGGAACCGACATGGCGAACGAGCGCAAATAGTACCTATGATAGTTCGGACGGACCTTCGTGCTGACATCAGGTGACGGACAGCTGGATTAGAATCGTGTACAACACAGCGCTACAACCAAGTAATTTCTTACTTTTGGACAACAGTCTTGTCAAGCAACGTATTTGCTGGCAATCCCTTGCGCGGCAGGATCAGGTTGATGTAGTCGGACTTGGCACTGTATTGAACAGCACGTACACAAGAAACGACTCAGTCGGATGTTCGAGTCTCTTGACACCTCACACAACGCACCTCGAGGGGTCGGGGCTCAGCTTTGCATCGTGGCGATGTACCAGCGATGCGATATCCGTGAGGGACACCGTGCCAAGCAGTTTGTTTCCTTTCAGCACCGGCAGCTCTCCAACAGCCGACAGCGCCATCACCGCCCGACACTAGAACCTCATGAAACCGTTAGCTCGTGCACACTTGTGTTTCCCAGTGCCCATTGTCCACTGCCTCAGCAAGCAACTACCCACATCCTCGAGCGTGTCTTCTGGCGACACAAACAGCATCTTCCTCGCCGGAATCGCCACCTCGGACACCTGTCAAAGCAACACGTTTATACATAGATGCTTAGAGACACTTGAGCCACGAGAGGCGGTCCGACTCAATCGAGCGGCCCTCTTCCATCTACACTGAACAACAATACGGCCACAACCACAACCACTACACAAAATCCACCAAAGGTCCAACTAAAACCAGTCCCACATGCGCTCGCGTCACCGCAAAGTACCTTTGTGTGCCACTGCGTCGTCTCCCCCGCCGACCGCATCTGCGCGACTCGCTGCAGGGCCAATCGATTGGTAATGAGCCCGACCACCTGATGCTCTCTGTTGACCACGACAAGCGACGCCGAGTTCTCGTTCTGCATGAGGCACCTGACCGCATCGTCCAGCGTCTCGTCCTCGTGGATGTAGTTCGTCTGTTTGCTGCGAAACTGTTTGGACACTTCGAGCAGATCCGCTACGTTCATACGGGACGGAGAAAACAGTAGCGAAGCGCTGGAGCAACGACGCAGGGGACCAGTCAACGAGCGAAAACCGCAGACGACGCGGGCGGAGCGGGACGAACGCCGCCCGCGACGCCAGTGCCGACTAAATGCTGCGAGTCGCTGCATGAAAATTTAGTTTTTTTCGTACCGCGGGCTGGAAAGAGTGCCAAAAAAGTGCGTTTTTGGGAGCAATACCTTCACGTTTCACAAAGCCGTCAACACTTGGCATGTAGAATACCAAACATTCTGAGCAGTTGGTACCGCGGTAACAGCTCGTTGCCCAAGTCAAGCTTTGTTCATGGCGATTTGCTCATACCGATTTGGGGCAGTTTTGTATACCGTAATCCTGTATTGCAACATCGAGTAGTGCGAAAGGCTCTGCTCAACATCGAGCGCCGTAAGTCGACTGCTGCACCTCAGTCGTTTTGCGGCATATCCGACGGTATTTCCTCTAATCGAACGAGCCCCTGCATTAGCATGCAATCGAGTCGTTGCTCCTACTACTGTGCAATAGCCAGTTCTCGTGGCACCGTCGTTGTTGCTAGCTGACTTCAAAGAGGAAAAGTTGGCCTTCCGATGTGAACATGTGGAACATTTTATTGCGACACGAGACGATCGCGATCTGGCCAAACAACTTACTCTACTGCGAGTGACGGGCGCCGACGATTTGGAAGATAATCTGCGTGCCTATTAACTGATGGAGGCGCGTCAGCTGACAGCGTCGATGGGGTCAAGCAAGTAACATCCGCGATTGGCCTTTTGTCCGAATCCGATCCCACAAAGTCGACTCGAGCAGTGCGCACGATCCGGATGGAGAGCGAAAATGGCTCGTCGGAGTCGGATTCGAGTGAATCGAAAGAAGATGCGGATCAGCGTCGCATTTGTGTGACATCCGCATCCGACCAAGCGAGGTCGGACCAAGTTCGTCGCCTGCGGCAGATTGATGCGGCTTGAGGTGATGCGCCTGATCGCGGGGAGCGATCGAGAGCGTGTATCCATTTCGGATTGTCAAATCGGCTGCCATCCTCTCAATGTATACGCATGTTAGGAGCCCAAAGCGTCGATAAACATTTTTGGGTGTATCGTAGCCATCCTCTCAGCGTCTAAGTAGTTCAGGAGCCCAAAGGGTCGATAAAATGTGTAAAGATCCATTTTGAGAATTGTTGCACCTCCAGGTACCGAAGTCTGATTTAAAGTCATCACGATTACGCGTACTGCCGTCGATTTCTGTCTTGGCGGTCCTCGATCGAAAAAGAGGACGCTATTATATATTGCACGTACATTATGACGCCCTCGCGTTTGACGATGGCGTATCCCGTGCTAGTTTCACCAAGCTGACACCCTGGTAGCAATTAAAATCTCCAGCGATAGTAGATGGATGCCGATTTTTGGCGCATAACATGCGTTCTTCAGCTCCTGTCAAACTTGGCGATATTTACTTTCACTCTAGCCTCACATTTCAGCGTCTGGAAATTCGCAGCGCACTCTTGTCCGGCTGGACTATGCCATCCTGTTCGTCGCATTCTTCCTACTCGTACGGCATGTACGCGTAGCGGACCAGTTCCGTGATAGCCCCTGGGTCTACTATCTAGTCTTAATCTAGTTGCTCTCCTGCCATCATCCCCGCCAGTGCCCACCTTGAGAACGCATCACTGTCTTCCTTGTTCGGGAAGTTTTGCGAGATGTGTCATAACCTGCTGTAAAGTACGCAGATCCGAATCTCAGCGTGTCTTTCGTTTTCCGCTGAAGCAACTTTGACTGGCTTTACTGATCGCCTTCCATCATCACCGTATGTTTGCGCCCATTGTGGTATATTCACCACGTGGACCACACAATCGGTCTTCTCTTTGTCATATTGACTCGCTCGCACTGGCCTAAACTCTGGTCTTGAATGCAGGAACAGGCTCTCGGGTATCAATGACAAAGACAATCCTGTCGCATTTCGAGCCTCCATTAGGTACATGTAGTGTAAATGCGACATGTCACCACTTTCCTTTTCTTTTTGGTCCTCAAGAACCCAATACTATTGCACTCGTGAAGCTTTTGTAGACCGCTAACTTCATTGCTTCAAGAGTGTAGCTTAAAGTCGGCTCGATCTCCAACCACTCATCTAGAAGTCGAATAAATAACTCTTCTGACTCTCCGCGGAGGCATCCTTCAAAAAGGCTTATTCCAACATCTCTACTCACCAGCACATACAAAATTGCTGCGGCATATCGATCTCGCCACGGAAGACACGGGCCCAGTGGCTGAACATAGATTTCACCCCTCTATAAAGCTCATTTGTTGTGAACACCTTCATGTTGATCTTCGCATCCTCAGTGGAGGGAGAGGGTTCGCGCTTCTCATCCGTTGAATGGCCTCTCCTCTCCTTCGAGAGTTGCGCTCGCACACAAGAAAACCCATTTGTCGGTGCCGCGGCTGCTTCTTCCGATCTCCTGGGATCTTCTTGTCTGTGTGTGTGCCAATGGTGGAAAATGTATTTGTTTGCGAACTCATCGGGTTTTAAGTTTAATCTAAAGGGCCACGACTAGAGGCACACCCCATTTTTGCTACGGGCACACCCGCCCGCCTAAAATGATGATGAAGAGGACTTCACAATTTATGGTGCAGAATAAGTAAACACGTAGTCACTTATTGCTGCTCGATATATCCCGATCTTAAACAGTTATTGCACTCATGCGCGAGATCGTATCAATCCATCTTGGCCAGGGCGGTATTTAAACGGGCTAAGCCTGCTGGAGTCTCTACCGTCTCGAAGACGGTATACAATCCATCGGTACGATTCCAAGATCCACCCTTGGCAGTGGCAACGACATTCGAGTTTCTACGTGCTCACAGTCACGAGTCGTTATGAAGATGTTATCAACATGCATTATCTTGGCATATGGCTGTTGGATTAATCTCTTAAGGTACGCCAAACAGTACACCATGTTTCACATGAATGTTAGCGTTTTGAATGACGTCAAATGACAGGTGCGCCTCTGCAGCACCTCCGCTACTCCACAAATACAATTTGATTGAGAGCCAATGCGATGCCAATAAGCACAACAGTGACCATCCACAGTTCGTGGCTGAACTCGGACGCTTTTTTCAGCTGCAGTGGACTCTGCTTGGAAATACCTCTGCTTATGGCTGCCTCGGTCTTACTTAGCAGACAACCACCCCAGCATATTCTCCTCCTTCTTCTGCTCTGCCACTTTTTTTTTGTTTAACATCAACATGACTTCACGAATTTTCGCATCCGTTCAGAGGTGAGTTGCAGCTCGAGTGGGCTACTCCTTAGATTCCTCGGGGCAAGGACAAGCACGTACCGCGTGCAGTATTTGTGGAATTACAGCTAACGTCTGTGACGAGGTACGTACCAATCCATACCGTTGACCGTCCCACCCCGGGCAGATAATGTCGGGTAGGAAGATGCTAAGAACGGTTACTTACAAGGTCATTGTGCGATTGAAAGGGTATGACTACCAAATACTATACCGGGTGCGAAAACTTGCATGGGTTGCACAGAAAAGATATATGGCTAACAATGCTTGGGGTGGAGGTACATGATTATGACTGGGTGTGCTCTAGCTTGAACGGCTATCACTCAGTTTATAGTGGCAAAGATAAATTGGTTTTTACTGTTTTTCTCCTTGATTTTGGTCTCGTCGGAAGTTGTGGAGCCTTGTAAGTCAATGTTACCTGCACTCTCTGATCGAGCACACGGACGTGGTTGTAGTGCAGAAAAATGAAGCCATCTGTAGCTCGATAATCAATCCAAATCGAATTATAGCTCAATTAATTTCGTCGCTGACGACGTCGCTGCATTTTGATGAATCGCGGATGCAAACGTGGAAGGTGAGATACAATTTGGACAGCTCTTCGAGTTTTTGCAGTGATTGACGCCACCACATGCGCTACATTCCTCCGCTTTCCTCCGCTTCTGCGATTGTTCCACGTATTCAAATCCAGACAAATTTCTTTTTGTCGAGGTGCTTGGGAGACCCTTGGTCCTCACAGCTTCTGGTTCCTGAATCGGACAGGGCAACAGCTGGGACAGATGGTGGAGATGCTCAATAGTTGCTCTCTGTTGGTGATCCGGTAACTTCGCCACATTGTTGGCTAATTGTTCTATCACAACATGCAAATGATCTTCGGGTTTCTCAAAGCATCAGGACAAAGAGGAATACGTTCCACAATGAGCCAGTGGGGATGAAAGTCGTTCAAGCTTCATCGCTTATCCTCGCTGATCCAATTTCTGAGCCGGTGATGGCATGTCATACCCCAGACTGTCGTGAACGCATGGGAGCATATCTTGTCATCAGATTGGACCGGTCTGCGTGCGTATTCCAGCTGCAGCCCGATCAAAGGTAAATAAAGAGATGTTAAACTTTGCCAGCATCATCACATGTTTGACTTGCCTTCTCGTGGACTTTGCTCAAAGCAAAATTTGAAACGCTTTTTGTGACGTTCTGAAAGATGTCCGTATTCGGGAAGGGTAGGCAAACAGAGGGGTCTGCATTTGATCGCTCGCGCGTTTTGCGCGGTAATCTGTCAGGAAACCTTCAATCGACACCTTGATCCTCTTGCAGCATTGAAACAAATCAATAATGCTCGTGCCAAGACACGTTTTCAGCCAGCTGTGAGAGCTTCCACCACGTGAAGCAACAGCATGCCCAAAGTGAGTGACGTTGTTGGTCCATGCCGCAACAATTTTTTTCTCGTAAGGATATATCCACGTGTCGTCCAAGTATTTAAGCGCTTCCTGGTACATTTGGTAGCGAGTGTGGAAACTGGACCAGAGCTCATTAAATAGAGTTTCTGTCTATGCATGCACTATCTAAAAAATGATATCAGCATGATGGACTACAAGTTTGGTGAAGGTTGCAAAATAAAATCTTCTTACCGCTGCCCAGTCTTTCATGAACTGTTCGTGATTGCTGCCAAGACGGACCTTGCAATATTAGGTGATGTTCTTCTCAATATGTCACACACACAACAAAATCGAGGCCTCAGGAAATTGATACTGCAATGCCAAGATCAGGGCAAGTTCCCGATCAACTGCAAAGACTTTTGGCAGAGCATCGATGTGGAAAAGTTTGTACAAGAACCCAACAGCAGTCCTGTATGATTCTTCGTTC